TTCATCTACAAGAAGTTGTCTACCATAGATGTATGAAGATGCATGAAGTGAGCTGCAGGTCACAAAAACTTATCACTTTTCACACAAAAAAAAATTAATAATTGAAAATGATGCTACTTCTGAAAAGTCCCTCTGAACACACAATTCTGTAAGCATTTAAGGTACAGGTCTTGAAATATCCTATTTTTTATAGTAAGTTATACCAACGGTCCCCAATCTTTATGGTTTGGTGGACCAGTAAAGTGGGGAGAGGGGAACTGGCCTGCATGTGCACTGGCCAGCTACTCACGCAGTCCAGTTCCAAACAGGCCATAGACCATTAGTGGGCTGCAGCCTGGGTATTGGAGTCCCCTGGTTTATACTATATAGATAGTGCACATTGATGGCCCTGTGTATGGTACTTACCATTACATACAGAAGAAAACAATGCAATGAAATAAAGTGTTTGAAAGATCCAAAACATCCTAAAAGAAAAAAATGCAACAATATATTTTAATTTCATTTTAGTGTGTAGCTGCCGGTTTTTGAATGATTCTACATTGAGTTTTAGTTTTACATATGTTCATGCCAAAGTCAATTTGGTTCAGTTTTACCTGCAGCCACTTATTATACATGTCTATGAATCATAATATAGATTTGAACAAAGAACTGTATTGCATCATAATCTATAGGAGGGTTGTATATCAAGAGTATATTACTACTCAGATTCACAAACACTGAATTTACTGTTTATAAGGTGTCAAACTCAAGGGTGCATAGATCGGGTCCACGGCCTACCCTGGAAACAGCATAGGATTGACTATGGTGCCTCTGCCAGCGAAAATGGAGTCAGGAGGGCTGCACACGGCCCTCCCAGGCTCTGTTTTCGGCTGAACGGCCTCCTGAAACCCTCTGTCAGCAAAAATGAAATCCAGGCAGGCCGCATGCAGCCAAAAACAGAACCTCAATGAGTGATGTCGAACTGCCATGCCTACCCTTGCCATACACCCCAGGCCCCCCAGGTGCCCAGGTCAAATACAACCCTGATGTGGCCCTCAATGAAATAGAATTTGACACCACTGTTATAAGACATTCGTTTTCAGTGAAAAATGAATGTTTTATTGTTATTTGAATAAAAGTTTTTTAAAGCAAAACTTGTTGTTTTTTAATGTTTTTAATCCTGTAAGATCTATACTGAAACCTACAGTTTCAGAGCTCTTTATATTTAGGAACAGTTATATAAGATTATTAGAAACATTTTCTATAAGAGTAAAAAAAAGAAGATTGTCTGCATCTTTAAAAAAAACATTTTCAAATTATTCCAGATCATCTTTGTAATTATTTAGAAAAAAAACATTAATATGTAAGAATAATGATTTTAAAATGCAGCTATCTATAAACAATTCTGGTGTTTTTAATTATTACATTGCTAAAAGGTATTATTGTTAAATGATTGGCTGCAAACAATGTCAAATTTAGCTCCTGCAGTAAAATCAGTTTTCTGTAATATTAGAAAGCCATCCCTTTTGAATAGAATTCCATTACCTGGAGCAGTGGTTCTACTGGTTGTAACTTTTCTCTGTAAACAAGTGCTTATATTCTTTGCCAAAAAATATATGAGGAAAAGAAGGAAAAGGGGAAAAAACTGTATTCAAAAGAAATGAGAAAAAACAGACTAGTTTCAATTGTGCACGTAATACCAGCCCCTCTGTCAATGTTTAGCCTAATGTTTATTTTTTAAAAAAATCTTGCACAATAAACATTGTTTCACCCTTTGAGGGGAAAAGTATATAGTTGGATTCAATAAATACCAGCACTGAGAGAGATTTGCTCTCCACAGTTTAGCATCAGAAAGGTAGGTAGGTAGGTAGGTAGGTAGGTAGGTAGGTAGCAAGGAAGGAAGGAAGGATGGATGGATGGAAGGAAGGAAGGAAGGAAGGAAGGAAGGAAGGAAGGAAGGAAGGAAGGAAGGAAGGAAGG